ACTTGGTCTTCTGTTCACACCTTTGCCAAGTTTTATAAGGTGGATGTTTTGGCATCTGCGGATGCTGGTTTGGGACGCAAAGTGTTGCAGGCGGCCGTTTGAGGGGATTTTTTTGTTTTAAGTTGGGTTTGTTGTTTCTGTTGGCCCACCCCTCTTTTTTGGTACTGCTCTGTGACGTCCCTACAGTACAGGATCTCCGATCTGTTCCCTGTGTCCTTCAATGAACGGGAGAGAAAATAGGATTTTGGTACTCACCGTAAAATCCTTTTCTCTCCGTTCATTGAAGGACACAGGGCCCGCCCCTCTATATGGGTGTGTACTCCTTTACTGCTTGTTACTGAACTGGAGACTTGTCAGCAGGTGGGGGGTTTTGGCCACCGGCAGGGGCCGCCCCTAGGCTGGGATTGGTCTTTAGTTTTGTGCCTAGCGTCCTTCTCCTGCAGGTGGCGATATTACCCTACAGTACAGGATCTCCGATCTGTTCCCTGTGTCCTTCAATGAACGGAGAGAAAAGGATTTTACGGTGAGTACCAAAATCCTATTTTTTTTTTTTGTGCATACTGTATATCTTCTTTAATAACTAAAATGACACCTTAAACGTGCCGTAGGTCAACATTTTTGTCTTTGATTTATGTATAAAAGGAAGATCTTCTGCAACATTAAACTCTGTTTTCTTTCATTGCCTAGGTCACTGGATCTAGTAGAGGATGGCTGTGTTGTGGATATGCATCAGTTCAATTCGGGATCCCAGTCTGTGCTCGCCTATGCTACAGTTAATGGGTCATTGGTAGGCTGGGATCTGAGATCTAACACTAACGCCTGGACTCTGAAACATGACCTGCGCTTAGGACTCATAACTTCATTTGCAGTAGATATTCACCAGTGCTGGCTGTGTATTGGTAAGGCTACTTCCTGTGTTTATGTATCAACTAGGATTAAATCCTAAAACCAGCAAATATTTCTTTTTTTGATAGAATAGGGATGAATTACAATTTCTGTTAAGTTTTAAATTCCGGTTATACCCTTTCCTATTCTATCCAAAACAAAATAAAACAACGCATTGCAAGACTCTGACAGCAGCAGGCATGACTCCCAGAGACAGATGCATAATGGGATTTGTAGTTTCATCACAGCTAATGTGCCGAGGTTGCCTACCCCAGTATTATAGCTACTTATTTATAATTATAACATACTTCATTTTGTTTAGTCAGAATATGCAAAATATTGGACAGGGATGGTGGTCGCAATCATAGGGGAGGTCTACACAGGCACATTTACTGGAGTAAAGTCTTGTAGGTTTGTCTAACATAAACTACATTCATATAAAACACATTTCCCAGGCTAGACTGGCTTACTTTATGGGTTTCCATCACTTCCGTCACCTACACATATAAATAGCCCACTGTTCTCTATATGGTTTTAGCATTATCTTCTATTTTTATTAGGGTTGCACAGATACCAAGTACTGTACTCGGTACAAGTACGAGTACATGTACCGATACTTTTGAGCTCCAAGACTACACTAGAAGAAAATTCAATAATTAGGAGGCAGCTGTCATTTTTAAGGAGCACACAGAGCTCCTGGGATTTCTACATCTCTGTTTTAATGTACGATTTTGTTTTTATAAATATAAATAAAGGGATGCACAGATACCAGTTTTGCGAGTATGAGTACTGGTACTTGCCGAGTACTTACAAATACTGATACATTTTTGTTTATTGTCATGTGACAGTTTTTCTAAAACAATACAGACTAATGATTTCGGGACAGTGATCGAGCACCAGAGCCAGGTCCCAGCTGCAACCGCTGAAACCCTGGTAGTTCTCATGAAAATGCCAAGTATCTGCACTGGTACTCGAAAAGTATCTGTGCATCCCTCATTTTTATATCTGCATCAGCCATTCTCAACCAGGGTGCCTTCAAATTTTCGCACAGCATCATGCATTTCCATGGTGCAGGTGAGCCTGCCACCATCACCATGTAAACACATGTTGCTAATGAAAAAGGGCTCCGAATGTGAAAGAAAGGGGCTTAGATGTGATGGGGATCCTCATGAGTAGGGGGGCTTCTGATGTGAAATGGAAGGGACTCTGATGTGAAGGGGAATCTTTGAGTTTTTGTGTGGGTTTTCCCCTTAAAGTGGACCTTTACACTCAAAAATCAAATTCTACCAATGCATCCCTCTATGTATGATGATTAATAATAAGAGAGACATGTCAGGTGTAAAATGCTGTGATTATGAAATACTTACAATTGCAGAACATTCACTTCCTGCTTTGAAAGGCATCTATAATCTCACAAGATCTTAGGGAAAGGCATTTTCCTCCCCTGAGATGATGGGCATGGTCACATGTGCCAGAAATCCAGGAAGTAAATGGAGAGCTAGTAACCTGCCCTTAGTAAACATGGCCACTGCCAGAAGACTGGGGAAGAAAAGAGAAATAAAGTATGCAAAGAGTACAACGCCGGAAATTATCTAAAGTATGTGTTTGTACCTTGTCATTACTAAACATTTCTAACTGCGTGTTTGCTGTTATGTTAAAGATATGGGTAAAGGCCCGCTTTAATATCCATACCAGACCCCTATCTAGCATAAGGTCTGGTATAGGTTTTGTACATTTATGTTTTTTTACATTTTTAGACTGGGGTGCCTTGAGATTTTACATGCAGTTAAAGGATGTCATAAAAAAGGTTGAGAAACGCTGGTCTACATTCCTTTTCCATGATATCATGTGTGGCTTTCAGACCGCTGTTATTTTCCACTGGATCAGCGGGACTTGTATGGTTGCAATAGTTTACTGTACAGTAATGTACAACTTTAGACAATATATATTCTTGTGAGGTACACTATGGATGTTTGTGCCTGTAATAAATCTTTCTTATTTCATGGCTACATAGTTTTGTTTTCTTGTGTAAGGCACTAGCAGTGGAACCATGGCATGCTGGGATATGAGGTTCCAGTTACCAATCTCCAGTCATACTCATCCAGCACGGGCAAGGATTCGACGCCTCCTCATGCATCCTTTGAGCATGCACACAATGTATCAGTCCTGGGTGATCGCAGGTATGTGCTCTCTGCTGTGACATTTATATACAATTTCACCTGTAATCATTTTCTGGTTTGAATAGCTTCCTTCATTTATTTCCAAAAACAATTGTTATATGGTCAGAATCATATGTTAAATTCTGCAATATATATTCCACCATGAGCTAATTTTTCAGTTTGGTCAGCTTAATAAATCCCCAGTTCTGTACACATTTTCCAATATCCTGCGTATTTGTTCAAATATTCCATGCTCTTTGTACACCCCGCCTGCTTGGATTGGAGCGTTATAAACGCCATGAGGGGAATTTGTCAAAACTGGAGCAGACAAAAACCGAACAAGCTGTGCATGGCAACCAATCGGCTTCTCTTTTTTCATTTTCACATCTTAACTGAACAGACTGAAGGACTGAAGAGAGAGCAGCTGATTGGTTGCCCTGGGCAACTGCTCCAGATTATGTCTGCTCCAGTTTTGATAAATTCCCTTCCATGTGTTCAACTAATATGCAAGCGACTTTCAGAGTTGGTTGGACTGTCTATTGGTCAGGGTGACTCTAGGGAGGTGACCTCACTCTAGAAAACGAATTACTCTCAGCTTCAGTGTTCTGAAAGCAAATTGAGCAGTTTTTAGTTAGCCCTTCATTGAAAAGTCACCTAGCTATGCATTCAGATTGAAAAGTTTTCAGAGTGATGTCCTAAAACACGGGGAGAAAGGGGAGCACACAACCCTTTTTCTTCAATTAAAGTGCAAAATAAAATAAAAAATATATGCAGTAGATCAGTTTTGTCTCTTTTAAAACACTGCAAGTACACAAAAATACATGTTGATCCTGCCAGTAATCTAGTGAGCTCCTAATTCTCTTTATTGAGCTGACAACACTGCCTTTGCTGCACTGAAATCCCATGCAGCGTTGCTAAGCTATTGCGGTATAGATCTGCAGAAAATGTAGGGCTTTTATTTCAACCCATACACTGTGCACTCTCTCTGCTCTCTCCATCTTCCAGCATTTCCTGTTAACACTTGTGCTTTCAGCAGAGTCAGAATTGATCCTAGTGCGGCACCTTCCTATTTCAATGCTGCTATACAGGGGATGACAGGAGGCTGATATCAAGACAGAGTCAAGTACTTCTATAAAAATATATGTATTATCAATAGAATGCTCAACTGCTTTGATGGTGTTTTTTATATCGGTCTGAAGTTCAGCTTTCACTGTATTTAAATTACTCATTTTCTTTGAGAAAGAAAGAGATATGCAAAACTGTTCCCCTCTAAAGATTTGTGGTCATGGAGACAGCACAATAAAGCCTGGCTATGGCTCACATAATTGAACCCAGCTCTGATTGTTGTGAAGGAACTAATTATTGAGAAAATATAGCCCATTTCCTAATAAGACTTCCAAATAAAGCCTATATTAAAAAAAATGTCTAGCCATGAAGGTGTTAAGGATTAAATAATTACTAGTCTTTCATTTTAAGAAAACCAGTGAACCTCTGCGGATTTTCCAAGGTCATGTTTGAAAATCGACTGTCTAAATAGTTCCTGTGATTATCAAATAAATATTCTGGCATTCATGCTTTTTGATTTTAATTTCCTGAATGTAATTTGGCATTTATACAATCAGAAGGTCAAGCATAACATTGTGCTGGAGTTAAGGGAACATATGTTGCCCTGTTGAACTCTCCTGGAAATTAAATGTCTAATCACATTTACTGTACAGTATAATAGCACAGTTCCATCGCTGACATTGACAAGTTCACTAAAGTTTAAAGCTGAAGTCAAGACTGATTCAGCGGGAATGTGTCCAACTGCTTCAGAGAGTCCACTGCTTCTATGCAAAGATCAGCGGTACTTTCTGCAGCTGAAGCCATTTAGCAACATACAACAGTAAGACTATATTATTTGTTTCACAGCATTTTTTCTCCCCAACTAACATGTTTTAAAACTTTTGTTTGACTTTAATTAGTAATTTTTTTGTGGATTGCAACATTTTAATTTTTAACCCTGATTAAGGTGTCAAAAGCATTTTTTTGGACTACTTTGGAGATAGGCTTAAAGTGACACTAAATTCAGGAGTTAAATCTTACAAATTCCTTCAAGTACCTTAACTATCAACAGAATTGTGCATCACTGGGCTGTAGATCCTCAAATCATCTCTGAATTAGTGCTGACACTGTTATTCCACTCTAACCTACAACCTCATGTTTAGTTTACTAATTTGTATTGAGATTGCAGTCTATCACGGGAGCGAGCTTGGAGCGGTGGCTACTTTACAGCACACACAGGGACCATGGGGAACACAAGTAGCCACCCTCCAGAAGGAAGGACAGTGTTGGCACCAATTCAGAGATGATTTGAGGATCTACAACTGAGTGATGTACAAATAAGATACATTTTTGTTAATAGTTAGGGCACTTGAATGCATTTTTAAGATTTAACCCTTGAGTTTAGTGTCACTTTAATAACCTACTGTAAAAACTTGGTCCTCATTTAGTTTAAAATCTTTAAAAGTACTGAAAGCTGCAAGAAAAAGGAGCAAGAAGGCCACATGCCTGCCAAAAAAGCACCAGTTTAATGCCTGACTAATAGTTTCACCTACAGTGCTAGCTGCTTGTTCTAATGTAGCCTATTCATTGAGAAGCGGTGATATATTTCAGAAGTAAGTCTTTAGTTTGCTTAGTTAATAGAAGCAACAGCGGGAAGGGACACAATATTGCTTCTGTTGCCAAAGAGAGTGGGATCAGAAATGGTTCACATTTAAACATTTTAATATCCTTTTATAATAGCTCCCCACTAGTTTTTTTTTATTTGTTAAAGCTGAACTCTAGGCAGATATAATAGATGCAAATTAAACCAGCTCATTAATCAATAATTCATCATTAAATGTATGTAAGTACATTAATTTTACCTGGCATCAGCACCCTGCAGTCCATGTTCAGCAGGGCTGAAGTGTAAGAGGCAGAAGCAGTATAAAGAGCCAATCAATTCATTTGCTGACAAGGAGTGCGCGCTGATGGGAGGAAAAATCAGTGACAGAGAGGTGTGCTCATCACTGTTCTGCTTCTGTATTTACTGTTCAGTCCAAACAGGCTTAGGAAGTGGGTTGAACTATACTTGCCATCAGACTGACAGCATCTTGTGTCAGAAAATAAGTACTGCAGGGGAGAGTGAATTGAAAGTGGATTGAAAGTGAACATTGGAACAAAACCAGCTTTTTATCATTTAATTAGGCTATTATTCGATTGTTATTTTGGCTGGATTTGTACTTTAATTTTACAATCAAAGCATAAGGGTAAGTGGGGCTTTATTGGCACCAAATGACAGATCCAATCAACCACAAAATTGCTTCATATAAAAAATATTATTTTATTGAGTACACACATAGTAAAAAAGACCATACATTTAAAATAGGGATGCGCATATCCTAATAGATATGTACGGTACCACCAAAAACCACTCATTGATTTCATGATTCAGTCATATAGCATAGTAAAGACATGATTTGGATGATACAAAAAAAATAAATAAATAAATTGATGAATAATTTACATAAATTCATCAGAAGCATGTAAACATATGCATGATATGAACACAAGATGGGTAATGAACAACAATTGCCAGATATTCTTCAAGTCATGTGTATAAATAGCCTTATCTGAAGATAATATAGGGTGGGTATAGAAACGTTTTCTACTTTTAATTTTACAGTTGTTGAATTAACGTACTGGCATGTGTTGCCACATTTTAAAGAATGGCATCGGTGTATTGATTATTCATTTATAGTATCAGCATGATTATTAAAAAAGAAAAGGAAACAGTATTTATATAGCACCAACAGTTTACACAGCCCTTTACAAAATGAATATTTGTGATATGCATGTAGACTTTAGTGCAGTGACGATTCTTCTTTTAGAAAAACAGATTAGTAATTACAGTTCTTTGCTGTTATAATGTAGCTGTTCAAGGCAATAATGAAGTCTCTATGTGGGACATGGAGACAGGAGACAGACGGTTCACTCTGTGGGCTAGCAATGCTCCACCACTCTCAGAAATGCAGGTATGTATTATATCCTATATGCTTGATAATGAATGTTTGTACTAATTATTTATTTAATCATTTTTTTTGCTCACACTTAGTGGCAGCTACATACTTTGAACATCGCTGTCGTGAGGGAGGTTGAATAAAAAAAATTAGTCCCTAGGGTCAAAAACAAATCTGCAGCGTCGCTGCAGATTTTAATTGTAAGGGGTTAATTTTTATAATAATGATAGTTAAAAAAAAGTTTAAAAAAAAGTATATATAATTTATTTTTACATTTATTTTTTTACACAATTTTTTTATACTTTCATTTATTTCCAATTATATTAAGCAGTCATTGTGTATTGATCTCACTATGACTGTTTGATAGTTTAATTCATTTTTTTCAATCTTAGTGACACTGATCCTGACAGCATTTCAGGATCAGTGTCACTAAAGGCTTCTGATCGTTTCTGCGAAATTGTTTCAGAATAGAAGCATGTAGCTTTCTATTCTGAAACATTGTAGAAAAAAGCTGTTAAACATCAGGATCCCGATCTGTACTAGCTGTCAAACAGTGACAGCAAGTGCGGTAAATACTGCACTGCTATCATTGTCAGACATCAGGAATCGGGTGTCTGAAAAAGCTTAACTAATTAATGGATGCTTCAATACTGAGGTATCCATTAGTGAATGGTAACCGCTGATTCTCAGCATTTCACCTCCCCAAATAGTGTATGTGATCATTCATTTGGGCACTTAGTCACGAAGGGGTTAATGAACAAACCACCACAAGCAGATATGTCCTATTTTAGGCAAACAGCTGGGCCATCTGTATTGTTCCATTACATAGTACCCCCAATGTACATACAAGTGAAAGACTTAGCCGTAACGTAATGATTCCTTTCTGCCATCTAGTTTATTTTGTCTGAATATTTTATTAGTCATCATAACAATCATCACAAAGACTAATTATGGATATGAGTGCAATGGATTTGAATACAATCTGTCCTTCATAACAATTAAAAGAACACAGTCTACAATTAGCTTCTGCTAATGCTGAGCTGGACCAGAAAGCATAGGAAATATCTTATTTATTATAATTCGCGATGGCCTGTGTTGTATTATAACAACCTGTTATAGCATTACTTTAATTTCATTTTACAAAAGACAAGAAGGCTAATTTATTTATAAAAATCTTAATAAAGAATCTTAATATTAAAAAAAATCATAGTTAAAGCAAACCTGTGCTTTGCTCATTTCCCCCTTCTTGCTAGCATCCCCCTCCCTACAGCACATACTTTCCTTTGCTCCCTCGCCATTTAGTTCAGCCCTTTAGAGAGCCTTGTTGAGACTCTTATTCTCTGTAGCCGGTGCTTACACCAGACTGAGCATTTTCTTCCTGCATGTGACAGCTCTGGGCCAATCACCAAGCACCTGTGCTGAAATGAGAGTAAGTCCTATTCTTCTTCACAATCTGAAGTCCTGGGTATATTTTTGCTGGTTGAAGAAAGCGATAGGGAATTGAAGGAAAGCTAAGTTTGTAATGCTGGAGAGGAGGTCATTAAAGTCATCTTGTTTCTTTGTCCTGCATGTTTAAAGCACTAGTTTGCTTTAATCGCGGTTCACCTCTAATGGATGTTTCTAAAACCTGCTAGTATTGCATTGTACCATAACTGGTTATATTAATGAGAGCTTTCTGGTCCTGTGTTGTTTTTGAGATTGCTTATTTTGAGTATCTTACATCAAACGCACACCTTTTGCAAAGGATAGACCAAGGTTTTCTTTTTCTTCTTGTGTGTGGAAGCTTATACTAAAACCTAACTTTTGTTGGAAGATCCTACCCATGGGTGTGTTTTTTATAACTATAAAAATACTTTACAAAATATACTTAGGTTCTGTCTTAGGGGAGACGCATCTCAGCACAGTTGTTCATGAGGTTCCGCCATACAACAGTACATACCATCAAAAAAGAATGCATGACCATTATTTTCGTGATGTTGTGATGCAATACAGTGTTGCAGTGATTTTTTTTTATTTTTATTAACAGCCCTCACCTCACAGTGTTCATGGGATTTACTGCAGTCCAGCAGATGGAAACCCCATATTATTGACTGCAGGTTCTGACATGAAAATTAGGTAAGCATTACTCACATTGTTTCAGGATCACTTATTTGTAAAATTGAATTTTTTTACATCAAATAGATGCAATGATGAAATGATAACTTAATCAGTGCATAAACATGCATGCCTGTATCGGCCAAGGGGTCTTGCTTAAAAAAAACACTAGTGTTGGAGTAATGTTGAAAGAACAGTGGCAGTTGACTGAGAAAATTCAATTGAAATGCTTTATCTTTCCCATCAGATCAGTCAATAAATGTTCTGCTCCTTAGGCAAAATGCCTACAAAGATGTCATAGACTTCAAACCAAGTATATTTAGCTAGATCAAGCTACAACCATCCCACATCTGTGGGTGCCTTAAAGTGTGTTTCCACTTTTGCTTTTCTAAATTGAGAAAACCTCTCTATAGGTTTGTTATGTGTTCCTATTCACACAGCATACCTTAAAATAATACCTTTTAGATGTCTCCATGGAACAAGCTTTCGGACAGATGGCAACCTCTACTATTTTAAATGAGAAGGAACTCTGCCTGTCCCCATAGAAAGAATAGGGACACTCTGAGCTGTGTCTTATTAACATACAATCTTTAACCCTTTGTTAGGTCAAATCTAATTTGCAACTGATAATGGGATCTGCCAGCACAGTACAGATAGGGGTAAAGTGGACCTTTACCCCGTTTCTCTAAAAATCACATCAGCGTGCAGCTTTGCATTCTGATATAAATTAATTCTACATTCATTAGTTAAACAAACTTGTTTTTCACTTACTTACGAATAGAGTTCATCTACTGCCTGGTCCACGTAGTATGCCAAAGCGTTACATCTGTAATCTCATCTGTAAACTCAGGGAAAGGCATGTTCCTCCCCTGAGATGATGTGCATGGTCACATGTCCTAGTCACATGTTACAGGAAGTAAAATGAGATCTAGTAATCTGCCCTTAGTAAAAATGACCACTGTCAAAAAACTGGGAGAAGAAAAGAGAAATAAGGTATGCAAAGAATACAAAGCCGGCAATTATCTAGAAGTATGTGCTTGTCGATTGTCATTACTAAACTATTCTAAAGGTGTGTTTGTTGTTATTTTAAGATATGGGTAAAGGTCCTCTTTAAACATGATCAACATTAACCACCCAGCCCCCTTGCATTGCAGAAGAAAATTCAGATTACATAAAAACTAGGGATGTTCAGATACCAAGTACCAAACTCAGTACAAGTACATGTATGGATACTTCTCCAGCTCCAAGACTAGACTAGAGAAAAATTCAAAAGTTAGGAGGCAGCTGTCATTTGTAAGGAGCACACGGAGCTCCTGGGATTTGTACATCCCTGTTTTACTTAATTTTTAAACAAAGGAACAGCTGGACTTAAAAAAAATGCATCAGTAAAAGCTTGTAACTGATGATAGCTCATTACACAAATCAATGGTGCAGGCACATAGACGCAATGAGGCTGATTTGCAAGAAGTTGACAATGTTCATACAATACATTGTGTGCATATATACACTTCAGTTACCCAACCATGTGAAAAGCAAGTTCCTGTTGAAATTAATATTCAAACAGTTTATTGTGGGGACATTGGCATTTCCTTTATTAATTAAATCTCTGTATGTGTAAACTTCCTTAAAGTTGGCAGTCTCCTTAATGTCCATCAGACTGCCAAAAGATCTGCTCTGCCAAGTGATCTGTCTGCCAAAACATCTGCTCTTTCCAGGTCTATCATTCAAAATTATGTCCTACAATATTCACTTAACACACATTAGCAATCCAAGTCAGCTTGTGATCCATCTTCTGAAATTTCAATTCATGTTCACCAACTATAAGAAAAAACATAAATTCTGCCTGTTTTCTGCCAGCTTGTAAATATTTAATGGAGCGGTTGTTCGGACGGATAGCAAGTACATGGTGAGATAAATAGCTGGTTGAGAACAACATGCAGATGAAGGGCCATTGCTTGGGTGTTATTGTCCTACAAGCCTGCATATGATTTGACAAAGAACACATGAGTGTTGGGTTAATAAGAATTAGCATCTTCCCTTAGAGGACCATGTACACCAGTCAGTCCTGTATAGTTGCCCAGACATGTCAAAATGACAGACAATGACATGCAACAGTTGGTTTCATTTAAGTTTTCGTAAAATGTGAATAAAATACCGGTAACTATCTCACCTTGTGTACAAATACAGTAGGTTTTAGGAGAACCCTGGGGACTCCCCACCCCATCATTGATGACATAGTCGGAAATCTCAATAATATTATGCCCTGTCATTTACATTTTTTTCCAGTGGTAAAGTCAGATGGCCAATGAAGAAAAAAAATTGTTGGCCAGCTATAACAGATGCAGCCCATTAAATACCTCCTTTTACACTTCAATGTACCTAGGAGTTTGCCTAGTTCCAGCCAAGCACTACTGCTTTATGAAATCAGCTAAATTTTAACATTTAGCATATACTGTACATCTTGTTTGGAAGCCTAGTCATGCAATTTTGTGTTAAGCATTCTGAGTGAGTTTCTGTTGCCATTTTGCTGATATGTGTTTTCATTTTGATCCTCAGATTTTGGAATCTAGCCTGCCCAAAGAGATCATATATTATACCAGGAAGCGCCAACAATCTTCCACCTGTATCTTATTTCAGCAAGATAATTGAGGGCACGGAAGTTGTTCAGGTAATAGTCCCATTAAAATACAAAACTGAAACCAGAATATAAATAGTTGAAGTTTTTTTTAATCTTCTTTGAGTAGTTCTAAACCTCTTCCAAAGACTTGTGGACCAAGAATGTGGCCTACAGGGTGGATGTTATGTGAGGAGGGAACAGTGGGGCAGATCTACCAGTTATAGTGCTCCTGGGGATTATTCCAGTGGAAATAAGAAAATGTAATGTTAAAGTGACACTAAACTCAGGAGCATTTTTTTGACAGCATTGTATGTATGTACATGATTATATGAACATTAACTAATCAGCTATATACAAGTGCTAGTACAGACTAGTACTTAAGTGGTTAAAAAAATCTTAATGTGACACAAAACTCAGGAGGTATCCTCAACTCTTAAAAAAGTATTCCGGTACCCTAACTATTAACAAAAATGTACCTTTTTTTTGTGTATCACTCAGCTGTAGATCCTGAAATCATCTCTGAATTGGTGCTGACACTGTCCTTCCTTCTGGAGGGTGGCTACTTTTGTTCCCATGATCGCTGTGTGTGTTTTAAAGTAGTCACTGTTCCAAGCTCCAGTGATGGACTACAATCTCACATTTAGTTTTTGTCTGTGAAGGCTCTCATTCATCCAGGTCATGGTATGTCTGTAAAAAAAAAAGAAAAAAATTAAATTAAGGCAACTGGACTTGCGGTATTTTTCTTGAAGATGTTTCGCTGGAGAAAGCTAGTCGGATGACCAGCGAAACGTATTCAAGAAAAATACAGCAAGTCCAGTTTCCTTGATTTGTTTTGTTTTTTTACAGATACATGTTTGGTTTACTAAAATTGTATTGAGATTGGAGTCCATCACAGGAGCGAGCTTGGAGCAGTGACTACTTTACAACACACACAGGGACAATGGGGAATAAAAGTAGCCACCCTCCAGAAGGAAGGACAGTGTCTGCACCAATTGAGAGATGATTTGAGGATCTACAGCCGAGTGATACACAAATAAGATACATTTTTGTTAATAGTTAAGGTGCTTGAATGCATTTTTAAGATTGAACTCCTGAGTTTAGTGTCACTCTTAACATGTTGCTACAGGTAACAATCATGTGTTTTTATGTTTTTTAATAATTCGTATAAAATATAATACATTTATTCAGTCTTATTTGTGTGTTGAGGAAGAGAATATTTAAAGAATTCAATGGTACACCTGATTACCTTACTGAGGTAAGGAATTGTGTGCACCCTAAAAGTGAGTTGAGCATATTATTATGCTGATGTATTAAGAACTTGTGATGTCTTTGATAAACACCAGTCTTGCTTTCAGAATAACATATGATAACAAATGATCACACAGCAGAGCAGGCTGGTATGTGTTGTTCCAATGTAGAACACAGTTATATGCTTCTTTTTGAAATGTACCGTGAAGCATTCTGCAGAATGCACACAGTCGCGAAGAAGATGGGATGCTGAAAGACTGCAGAGACAATTAAGAGGGGAGATAGAGCAGAAGCATCATCGCACGGAAATGTAACGCATGACAAACACAGTTTGTGGACACAGCAAGCAAAACAACCAGCAGACAGAGGTTCTTTTACTTCTGTCTAGTAAAATCTTATTTTTGTCTGTGTCGTCATTGCAGTAATTTTACCCCCTTACTTCCTGTTAATGGGCAATACAGAAAGCAAGAGGAAGTCTGCCTTTTGAGAATGTTTAGTATTGAAAAAGGTGTGCATTGTAAGGATTTAATAATCTTCAAATATTGCATCGTATAGAGAACGTAAAATAGACCATTCATCAATATAAAAGGAGCCACTTTTTAGTAGCCCCCTCCCCCATTAAAAAATTTAAAACACACACACCTACACACACCTTGATGGACCTGTGTCTTTATTCAACCTCAAATACTATGTAAGCTTAGATGCCAGTTTCTGGCCCACTTGCCTAGACCCAGTGATATATTTCAGCCTCATTGTGAAATTCTGTAAATGCTTACAATATACTGGATTGTAAGCTCTCACGAGCAGGGCCCTCCTAACCACATTTTTTTGAAATTGTAACTGAACTGTCTCCCCATTTTGAAAAGTGCTGCCCGAACTGTTGGTGCTATATAAATCCTGTATAATAATAATAATTAAAAAATCCCAAATTTCATAAGATTGCGCTCCTGGACAGTGCATTCTTGTGAACTTTGAAATCTCTTGGGGAAAATGAATGACATCACCAGAACTTAGTAGAGTGGGACATAAGGCAGGGTCTACGGAAAGGTTTTTTAAATTTTTTTTTATTGTTACTGGCAATTTTTATCTTACCTAACTACTAACAAAATAGTGTTCCTTGCATTTTCATGTGAGGTCTACTTAAATAGTTACTCAGTGGCTATGGTAAAAGAAACAGTCTTGTTTCCCAGCTGTTCATCTGTTTGTGGCTGTAGAGTTTCCTTTTTGTGTGATCATATGGGATGTTAATGAGACATTGACCGTCAAAGTTCTTGATTCAAGTCAAAGTAGTGAAATGATGTTGAAGGGAATTATGGTCCTTTAAGAATTATAGTCTACTCTGTTTTCCATAAATTTCTATTCGGTTTTAGCTACAGCTAAACTAGAAAAGATGCATATTTTGGCACAAATTCAAACACTTGCTTGAGGGTTCTAATCTGAAACCAAAATACAATAATTTCTGGAAAATGTAAAGTACAAGATGAATGGGGTTATTAACCCCTTGTTTTCTTGCTTAGTGATATCGTAGTCATACAAACCTTGGACTTCAAATTATGAAGAAAGGGATCAGTCCCCATTGCTAGTAGTGTCCTCATGGTTGTTATTCTAGCCAGCATGTGACAACAATGCAGGGTCATGTTACAATAAGCACATTACAAGGCTCCATAATAATGATGTATGTTTGAGGAAGCTTCAAGGAATTGCCATACCATCTGACTGTAGGAGACTGCCATACTAAGCAAATGTGAACACTCCTGGACCCTCCTGACCATGGCCAACAGAAGGTGTAGATCTACAGTACAAAGATGGTCATACACATCAGAGAATAATGTTCCATTCGAAACGTACAGACATGGACAAATTTGTTGGTGCCCTTACAGCTCATTGAAACAATGATTTGTTCCTTTTGAGAAGTGATAAAATGAAAAGCAGTTATCTTATGTATACCTGCATGCCTCTAGTATGCCATAAAGTAAAACAAAGAAAGTGTAAAAATACACTGCTTGGCCCAAAAAAGTCACACCTGGATTTAGCTAAGCAAATAGGTAAGAGCCTTCCACTAGATAATTAGTCTAGGACTAGGTTCACCAACGTTATGCCCCTTAAATCAATGGATTTTGTTTTCTTCCCTGATGGCACGGACATATTCCAAGATGACAATGCCAGGATTCATCGGGCTCAAACTGTGAAAGAGTGCTTCAGGGAGCATGGGACATCATTTACACACATGGATCGGCCACCACAGAGTCCAGACCTTACCCGATTAAAAATCTTTGGGATGTGCTGGAGAAGACTTTATGCAGTGGATCGGACTCTCCCATCATCAGTACAAGATCTTGGTAAAAAATTAAAGCCACTCTGGCTGGAAATAAATGTTGTGACATTGCATAAGCTTATTGAAACAATGCCACTGCAAATGCATGCCTTAATCAAAGCTAAAGGCAATCCAACAAAATATTAGTGTGTAACTTTTACACACTCTATCTACATTGGCAGTGTAGATAAATTATTGCTCATTCTACACAGATATTTTAAAATAGCCCTGACAGACTTGTTGGTAACCCTAGAAAAGAGTACACAAAATTGGATCATGGCAAGATTTCAAACTGTTTTCTGTAATTAGTATCACACGTCTTCCATCTTGTAAGCAGTCAGTCAGCCATTTAAGTGGTGTGCTGTTTGGTATAAATGTGTGCACCACACTGAACATGCACCAAATAAAGCAAAGGAGAGAGTTGTTTGAGTAGATCTGAAAGAAACGTTTAGACCAGCATGTCAAAAGTAAAAGCTGTAGGACCATCTCCAAACAGCTGGGATGTTGCTTTGACTACAGTTTAAATTATTATTAAGGCGTTTGGGGTCCATGGGAGTAAAGCCAACCTCTGTGAACATGGCCACAAAAGGAAAATTGATTCCAGATAGAACAGAAGGATAGTGCAAATGAGAGCCAAGGAAAAAAAAGACGTACAAGCTGAACTCCAAGGTCAGCTTACATCAGTGGGCTCAAGCTAAGAAGATGCAGGAGGACTATGGAAAGAAAAACTTAAAACAACTGAGACATGCAGTCTAATGAAGGCAGTTTGCTCTAGAAGAGTGTGCCAAACTACCTGTCGCAGGTGCAGAAGTCAATTTGAGAGCAGAGCAACAGAATATTAGGTTAAGGGCAACATCATTTTAAAAATTATTTGATTAATCAGTGAAAGCTGATAATTTGGTGGTCTTTTTTCTTGCCCATCTAGTTATTTGACCATCATGTTTACTGAATATTTGAATCTAAATCAACAGTTTTAGTCTAATGTGGAGAAAACAAAATTTGTGTTCTGTTGTGGAGCCTGGAGACCTGAGGCTTGGTAGAGCTTTGGATGGTTTAAAGCCTTCATTTCTACATCCACATTTTTCCAGACCTCATTAGTAGTATCATTTGTTCTCAGGCCTTTATATATTTGAGCTGGCTGATGCTTACAGCGCTCTCTCTCTCTGCTGTGGGAGCCTGTTTCTGGGTGAGTGCTGACGGAACACTAAAAAAGTGCAAGTTCTGCCTGTTTGTGTTAAGGTCTACTTTGACTCAAAACTCCAGGATGCCAAGGAATATCCTAACCTCAAAAGAGAAATCCTATTCGCGCTTGGGGTTACCATGGCGGGTTACCATTGCCGTCCAAGCCCTGCATGTGTTCACATGTGAACATGACCCTGGAAAAGGTGCTCAACTCAGGGCACATTTTAAGCCCCAAAAGAATATGCTTTGGTATATCTAGGTGATGGTATCATTTTTAGTCTTGACTGGAATTCCGACCTACAGATGGTCCAGACAGTTGTAGATTCCATTTGTAAGGCCAAGTGAACAACCATTCCAAAAAGGTATGATAGGCCTGGAAAAAGCCTGGTATTTAGGCTACCGCCTCTAATCAACCTGATTAAAGCACTTAATAGATGGCCCCAGCCAGCAAAAAAAAAAAAAACAGGTTAGAGCCCCCTGCGGGGATTGTAGGATACTATGTATGACTAAATTTGCTACTAGAACAGCTTCACTTATGGATTCTACCAAAGGGACCAAGTTTTCCTCGGTGAAGTAGAATTTAGAGGCAGGGAGAGCTTTTCAAAAGCTGAAGGTAGTTTTGTGTAAGGGACCAATGTTAATAACTCTCATCTTCAGTCAATTATTACTTGTACAAACCAATGCCCCTGATGTTGGTCTGGGAACAGTCTTGTCCCATAAAATGGCTCAGAAATGGAACACTGCAAGGCTCACAAGATGGTTTCTGGCTATGAAAGATTAAAAATTTTATTTAGAACATATACCAGGACCCAACAAGGGAATGTTGATGAACTGTCATACTTCCATTGTATGTTGGCTAAATGGGCTCCTTCCTACAGGTCTGAGGGGAGAGGGAGGGTATGTGAGACACTTGCTGGCAGCATTGTGGACAATGTGTTTGTGTCACCCAGGATCCTCACATAAACATGGTGAGGGGCTCCAAAGTTTATGCTGATGTGGATAATTTTCTCAGAATCTTAATAAATTACTAGCTTCCCAAGATCCCAGTAAATTTGGTGTTTATCACCCTCCTCAGGAGTGCAAGCAGCCAAACCTCCGAGCTGTTGCAGTGTTTGGTCAGTCTGCAGTGCTGTCTCAAATGCTGCACTACAAGTCCCAGTCAGCTGTCCTGTGGTAGACAAAGACAGCTGCCGAAGCTCAACAAAGGTGGAGTCCACTGGACTGGATCAGAGCAAGGAAAAGGGCTGGGAGCCCCACCCCCCTGCTCTGTGACCTGAGCCTGTGTCTCAGCTGCCCTTGCAGCACTGTGAGTGACCACCAATATTGACAATGTATTGTCAATATCACATTTAGCATTTACATTTTCAGTATTTGATGAACATGTATTTGGTACCTGTAAGATAGTCTCCTCTCTGTCCCTAGCTCTCTTAACCCCGCATCTAGAACATAGTACCTTGATTGGGCCAGAGGGTCCAGTTGAAAAAGTCAGGGTGTCCTCAGCAGGTGCGTAGTAGGAAACTAGGGTCCCCAAGTCAATGAAAACCCATGCACAGGGCACATAGGAATGGGTTTTCCTGGATGATGTCCTTTTCTTCTATCAGCTCTAGGGCGAACTAGGGTGACCTCTGCACTGCTGTCTCTGAGGCCAGTCACAGTCCAGTTACTTATAATGATGGGCTGCAGGTTGGTATATTGCCTCTCGATTACCTGTTGATGAACAGCACAGAGAAATTGGCGCTGGCTGGCTTGGCAGCTGATGTTGTCTTCTTCTGCTCAAGGCAGTGTTGTCTGGGCTTGGCTTAATTGTAGCACCTGCAGATGTCAGGTGATACTGATTTGGAACCAGAAGCTCCAAGTACTGGTTGCTGGGAGGGTTGACTCACAAATGTTACAGGGGTTGCTGTTGGTGATTTCCCTCCTTTTCAGCTGCTAGGAGGAGCCCGGCAGTGGCCAAATACCTGAGTGCTGGTATAGGTATCTGCCAAATCTGCTGCCACTTAGCAAAAGTATATGGCATTTGTCCTATTTTGTTCCATTACCACCTTGATTTAAAATGGATTTGGGGGTGGGGGGGTTGTATCATTTGATTTACACAACATGCCTAACACTTGGAGGACAACAAAATATTTTTATTGTGATACAAAAAAGAAATAAGATAAAAACAACACAAAATGTGAACATGCAAAACTATTCAACCCCCCAAAGTCAATACTTTGTAGAGCCACCTTTTGCATCAATTACAGCTGTATGTCTCTTGGGGTATGTCTCTATAAGTTTGGCACATCTAGCCACGGGGAGTTTTGCCAATCCTTCAAGGCGAAACTGTTCCAGCTCCTTCAAGTTATGTGACATCAAATATAACATATTCAAGCTTAGAGCATGCATGGAGAAACGTCACTGCACTCCAGGCTAACCCTGTAACTTCTCTGCTTTGTTCTTCAATACAACATCTTTAGTCCTTGTTGGTACACATTGATCAAGTATACATTTTATTCTTGGACTGTAAAGTGGTAGGAGCAGGAACCCAACTAGGTTTTAGCTAGACATCTGTTACAAATCTTTCTTACTTGTGGTTTTTGTCCCAACAAATAGTCATAACAAATTTCTGCATATTCCAGTGATTGCTTGGTATGTATCTGTGCCAGAAATGTGTATGTAATATTATTGTAGATTATATTCCATAACTAATATTTTATGCTGCCAAGAGATTGTGGCTTTATCTTTATCAGCCGAACTTAGTAGTAGGATCTGTATGCTAAAATGCCTTATCACTGGCAGAAACTCCTTACAGTTTACTCCTCTGTGATCATGCACGGTGCACTTTTATGAATTATATATTGCTAAATATGGATAACATTACATAAAAAAATAGTATGTGCCCTACTAGCAAACATAATGTGCTTCCTTACACAATCCTTTCTACTGCTCTTCTGTAAGTTTTCCATATTGCTTCCAATACAAAGAAGACCAGGCTTGGTTTAACTGAACTGGACCACACAATAAATGCGCAGCGCAAACACTGTCGCCTAAGTGTAAGTGCAGCCTAAAACATCAACATTTTCAGTAGTGTATACCTATGTGCCAGCACGCTGGGGACTTGAGAAAAGTGGATCATTCTAAGCTAGGGATGCTAAGAAGAGGGATGAGACAAAATGACATAACTGTAAATGATATATGATACACACTTTAGAAAAAAATACAAACATGTTATACAAAATACTTAGTATGCAAACCTTATCTGGTTTTCAGTTTGGATTTGATAAATATTTGAGTGTATACATGCAACAGTAAATACTGTAGCATTTTCACTAACTGTTATTAAAACAGTTTCCACAGGAGTGCGGCAGAATCCAGTCTTTACGTGAATATGGTTGTTTTACCTTTGCATAATAGATTGCCAATCCATTTTTTTGCTTATAATTTTCCATTTTCAGCAGCTTGTAATATGATATTTTCTAATCTGCATATGTTAAAATAACATTCTGTGGTTTCCATTACTGATGGCATTGATTTATATGGTTTCTGAATTTACAAATTAGCTAATTGTTCTCCTATATGCCACTCTACAATTAATTCCCTCTCACTTTACCTTGTAGGAAATTCAGAGTAAGCATACTGTGGGACCCAGTGAAGATACCCCACGAAGAGGACCTGAGTCACTGCCGGCAGGGCATCATGACATTATTACAGACATGGCCACCTTCCAAACCACACAAGGCTTTATAGTAACAGCCTCTAGGGATGGCATTGTGAAAGTGTGGAAATAAAGGTTTAATGGAGCTGGAGTCTATTGAAGCGCCATTAGTTAACTGGGACAACTGCTGAGTCCTGCTATGCATGGCTTGTGCTGTAGGCCTCATGAGCAGGGTTGCTGATCTAGTATAGGTCAGCCAGTGACATAATATAGCTCTGCAATAAACCTTCTCTATACAAACTGCCCATAGTATTATTCAGGACATCTATGAGCTTATTACAGCTTTTGGAAAAGTTCTCTTTCCCTTTATGACCCGTGCATACAATAAAAGTCTCTCTCATTCCTGTGTGTATACATGCTGTAAACGGTGAATACATGATATTTAAATTGTTTGTTAGTTTATATTTTGAATGCTTGTTTACACAAGTATAAACAAAAGTATGCATTTTGCACTAATGTTCTCATACTGATATTAAAAAAAACTACCTAAATAGTAATTGTGTGCAGCATTATTTGAGAGAATGTGTACAAACGTAAGATATTTTAGGGAGAATGTATTTATTTATTTATGTCAGGTATTTATATAGTGCTTATATAGTGCACATTCACATCAGTCTCTGCCCTCAAGGAGCTTACAGTCAATCTCACATGCACACATACAGGGCTGATGCAGCATACAGCATACCTTTGTGTGGGAGGAAACAGGAGGACCAGGAGGGAACACACGCAAGCACAAGGAGAACATGCAAACTGCTTGCACATCGTGTCTTGACCAGTATTTGAACTGGGGACTCCCAGTGCTGCAAGGCAGAAGTGCTAACCGCTTGACAGTAGGCTTTGTTTACAAAGCTTTAACACAAGGATGCAGATCTTTATTTTAGTCATGTGACTAAATATTTTTTAAACTCATTGGATTGATTATACTCATTGGAGCTGAAAATAACTGTCTCTTTTTTTGGGACATACTTATATCCGTATATATTACCAAGCTACCACACCTTATCCTGATGTGTTATCTTGGTAAATTAAACCTAATACTTTTTTTTGGTATACCGCAAGGAACAGGAGGGTGTAAAGAAGATTTTTTTGTGCTTTTTTTGGAGCTATACATGTTTTTGTATATGCTGGAAAGGCTTAATTCCTGCTGGCCATGCCATTTGTGATAACTAAAAAACATTACAAAATAATATGTCCTCTAGTTATATAAGCAAGTGCCTAGGAGCCAGTAAATTAACATTCTCACCAAGTCCCAGAGTGATTTAACTGCATTTATCTGGTATGCTTGTCATTTATTTGCAAGCTAGAAAGCAAGGAGTAACTTGGGGAAAAATGCTGATGGAGTTGTGATATGATGCAGCAGCCCTGCTAACCCAGTGTTTATGTGGATAAAGAAAAAAATTACGAAAAAGTATTTGCAAACATGTTATCAGTGTGCTGCTTTTTCTTTATTGTCCAATCACAGGTTGGGTCAGATCCTAGACCAGACCTTATTGATCAACTACAGTGTAGACTACAGAGATCCAGGACTTAGGACAGAATTACAAATGCTAAAAATGTATTTCAGCTGTCTGCCATGAGTTATGCATTAACTTTTTTGTAAGTAAATAATATATTCTGCTCATATATTTCCTCTTGTCTTTTACTCTCTGCTCTTTGTATGACAGCTATAAAGATGTTGAGTTGTGAAAGTTTGAACTCACTTATATGAGCTTTTATTTCCATCCAACACATTTCACTGTCCATAAATAGGTGTTTTCTCACATTGAAAACAAACTCAAAGTTTTATGACCTACAATAAATGTAATCAAATGATCATCTGGTTCAAAGATAAAGATATTTTTATTGTTCAGCTAAATTCAGAACTTTGGAAAGATGTTAGTGATGTTAGTTATATTACTGACTTTCCTCTGGAACAGCCACCCAAAGTGTCATACTCCCCAGCCCCCAGATCTTGGCTGTAAATCCTTCTGGGAGCCCCCATTGCAACAAAGTCTTCTGGCTGGGCATCTTCTATGAATTTAGGGAAAATCTCCATTCTTTCTTATTGAAAGGTCTATTATGTCTCAAAATAATCAGCTTGTCTGCAGCAACATAAATGACAGTTTTAGTTTTGCTCAGTAACTTCCCACAGCTCCTAAGACGCTCATCACACCTGTGTGAAACTCCCACTGCTCACCCCTCGTGAGTCCTCGCTCTGCTCTCTTAGCAGTATGTCTAATAGGTCCCTTGGGTCACCGACCTTCCTGACCTCTCCCCGCCTCCCCCGGCTGTTTCTAGTGCATCCAGCACGCACCTGTGTCCGTGTGCCTCCTGTGCACACAGCTCCAACACAACTTCCTCTGAGCACTGGAATGGCTTCCTAATGAGGCTGCTCAGCCACCTGATCAGCCCAAGCTGGTCATTGGTAACACCTGGGCCCAGGACTGGAGATCTCATGCCACCCAGAGCTCTACGGAATCTCCAGAGCTCCAGATCCAAGTTACAATTCAGAAAACCTGGAAGGACCTGAATGGCCAGGCTCTTCCTTATAATATTGTTTACATTCTGGACCCTCTCAGCCCCTTTGGCTAAGAGTCCTGGGTGCCAATGTTGCCATACTATGCCGTGGTATTGCCCTACACTGCCACAGCCCTCACGGGCAGGCCCCTGCTTACATTTTGTCTTGTATTGTATTGTGATTGTAATGTCTTCCTTATATTGTAAAGTGCAGCGCAAACTGTTGGCGCTATATAAATCCTGTATAATAATTAGACCTAATAAGCAAAATTTCACAAAACCAGAGATATTGCTATTTATCATCATATATTTCATATATTTTAAATGAAATACTGTATTGTATTTAATGATCAAGATATGTATGATGCCTCATAAGGTTATAGTATTATGTTACTTTGCTTACATAAATAAAACACATGGCCAGAAGGATTCAGCATCAGCTCATACTCATAGTGTTTTTATTTTATTAAAGTTAATAGTATTTGGAAAAAATGGGTTTTTAGAATATAAATCTGATTTCTAACATGTTACTTTAATATTTAGGATTGTTTCTGAAATGCTCTATGCGCAGATATATATTTTCTTACATATACATTTGGTGTTTAATTTAGGCTTTCAGTACTAAACTTGAATAATATTTTGTTTGAGACTTTTATTAATACACACAATTACAATTTTTCAGTGGTCAAGCACCCACATAGACTCACATACTGTAGGTCAGTTACTTGAAATTATAAGGATATCAGTATAACCATAAGGCCCCATTCACATGTGGCGTTTTGGGATTCCTGCAGCAGGAATCCCAAATATTCAGTTTAGAAGTGTCCAATCAAGTTACTAATTGGGGGACGTTGGCTGAATCTGTTAAGGGCACTCTTTGGTGGTTTGGAATAGATCAATGTTCCTGGACGCATGGCAGCTCTACCCAATGCATTTAACGTTACATATATATGAGCCCACACAAGTCCTGATGTGTATACATATGCCACATCATAAATGTCTTTGCAACAGTGCCATCTGATGTACCACAGCTGATTATTCCACAAACAATATACATCCCATGAATTAATCTGTCATTACATACATTAGCGTCAATAAAAAAAAAGTTATACTCCCCTGAATTAAGGAGCTGGCATGCTCTTAGACTGGTCTTTCCATCCTCTCTCCCTCTTCTGCAGCAGTCTAAGGTACCATAAATCATCACATTCTATACACAGTGTATAGACGTGAGGACCAGTGACGTATGGAGGAGACAGGCTTTAAGGACCAGAGAAGCAGGGAACCAGCTCACCAGTTCAGGAGATTATACTTTTTTTTTAGCACCTAGACAAAAACAAGGAGTTAACTCCTCCCAAAACCCAGCCCAATGCTTGTATCACGGCTGAGAGCTCTTGAGGCTGTAAAGGTTTTAGAAACCTATGCACACCACACCACTGTCTTCTCCCACCAGCCATGTTCTACAGTACCTGCATTGCACAGGGACCCAGTAATATCACTGGGTCTAAAATGAGGTGTAATGAAAACGGAAAGGTTTTATTTAATCATTTTATTAGCATATTTATGAAGGGGTGATGGAGGAACCAGGGAAGGCACAATATAATCAGATTCAACTTCAGTTTAAACAAGGGCACTGGTATTGAACTTATTACCCTGAATGGAGTTTGTTTATTCATAAGCAAATTTAGATTCCAGCCATTAATGTATCCAAATGTTCAAATTCTTACTATCAAAAGAAAACCTGTCATAAAAAAAGCTAATTCATTCACTAGGTATATGATGAGTGTGTTTCCTCCAAAAAGTATGTACTGTATGTGTGCCAATTTGTTATTGATTATAAATCAAGGAACATTCCACACTTAGGCATTGGCACTGTTACTAAGAGGGTTATTCACTTAGCTGCCGAAGGCAGCCGAGTGAATAAATGAGCCGAAGTGAAGTAGGCCGAACGCTGTTCGGCTATCCACTTCAGCCTTGTACGGCTGATTTCAGCCAAACATCGGCTAAAATCAGCCATACATGGGCTCTGTACAGCTGCCTTCGGTCAGCCGAACATGCTGTGCATGTTCGGCTGAGCTGCAGTGCAGAAGGACTTCGACTCAACCGATCCAACATCTGGATTGGCTGAGCCAAAGCTCCGGCAGCTCACTTGCTGCCGTTCGCCCCTATTCGGCTCGGCTATTCTGCTCGGTACCTCCGAGGTAGTGAGCAGAATAGCAAAACAGTTAAATAAATGAAAAAAAAAGTTGAAAAATTATTTTAAAAATGTAATAAAACATTTTTTTAAATACGATGCATGCTGACCCGACTGCACGCGACGAACTCCTACTGCATAATGAAGCATCTGACAGATGCCGGAAAAGTAAAAGCAATTGGGCAGAGCAAGCGATGACAGCTAGCTCCACCCAAGTGTTTCCTATTGGCCAGCACCTGCCAGAGTCTTCGAGCAGGTCCCGGCCAATGAATAACAACTGGGCGGAGCCGGCCATACGGGATGCAGCCATTTATATGTTAAACATGTTTTGTCTTCGTTTTTGTTATATGTCAGTGCCCTATATATTGAGCTTTTTTAGCCTTTTCTATATGAATTAAATATGTATTGCATCGTACTATAGTTGTTATTTACATTTATTGAAGGAATGGTGGGATCCCCTATAAGGGGAATCATTTTTTTGTATACCTATTGTGAATAACCCATAAAGCAGCCCTATGGTTCGACTGAACCGTAGGGCAGAGGCGGCCAAAGCGAGCCGAAGGATCAGCCGAAGCTACAGCTGGATCCTTCGACTTTTTAGTGAATAACCCTCTAAATATAATACATCATACTTAAAGTAGTATTAAACGCTCAAACTTTTTTCAATAATGAATCCAGATCAAACAAATATACATTGCCCAGCAAATCATTGCTTTACTTTTTTCCCAAATACTTACAATCATTGTGTTTCTGAACAGCTGCTTCCAAGTCTCTTATCTCAGCTTCCCGG